GAAGCCTTTTAAAGTCAAACAACTTGGGATCTTTCCCGAAAACGTAATAAGCATTAAAGTTAATTAAATAAAGCATAACTACAGATTAAAGAGACAGCCACGCCATCGTACATCTCCTCCTCAATGCCCTCCGAGATCGGCTCTAGGTTCATCTGTCTGATCACCTACGGACAGCAAAAAGGAAAACAACGCTATCCGCTCAGCATTGACGCTGAGTGGCACTCCATTATAGCACAAGAATAGACATAATAATTCAATAATTAAGATCGCGCATATGTTTATCCTTTTTAATAAAAATCAATTCGACTTTAAATTCGGTTCTTTAGACGGTTGACCAATAGTCAACTTATTTTCTTTCTTTTCAAAACGATTTGTTGGAACACAGGTTTACGCCTTACGTCGTACTAAACTGTGTTCGGTTTTTATGACAGGTTTTGATAATGCCAAACCGCCGCGACATATCGAAGCTAAAGTGAGCAAAACTAAGGCGAAGGAACATGGCATGATGACTTGAGAACCAAGAACCCAGAATCAAGAACGAAGAACTAAAATCGTATTGAGTCTGTCTTAATCTGATCAAGACCGGCACAAAATTCCAAATCTTGGCTCTCTAGGCTCAATTCATAAAAATCTCTTTTACATGTTCAAAACTATTTTTTCTTAAGTTTAAACTTGGGTCAAAACACTTGGAGTTCGCCCAAGCCAAAAACCAAGCCATCCGGCGTTCGGCTTTCAGAAACCGGCATTCGGCTTTCGGTTTTCGGCATTGGTTTTTGGCGTTTGAACCAACCAAGTGGTTTTCACTTTTTTTTGACTGGTTTTTATTTCTGGGCATATTTAATTAGTTCTCCAACAAAAACGCCTCAAAAACCACTCTCCGTTTTTTGTCGTTTAGTAAAAACCATGCGAAACGGCACGAACTTGGTTAGCCGTGATTTTCAACTAAATGACGTGATTTTCAAGATGTTTTACTTGTTCTCTTAGCAAAATACAATAAACAAATGTTTTCTAAACTTGGTTTTTATTTTGGAAAACTTGCATTTTTGACATCGGCTAACGGCGTGACTAAACCAACCATGGGTCTGGCTAAACCAGCCCAACAGCGATGTTGAGGTAATCAACAGCGCTGTCTAGACTGGGTAGCTAAAAACATGGTTTGGCATTAAGTCTTCCAACAGCGATGTTGGTCACTAGACATCGCTGTTGAGCCAAGGATGGATTTCCAGAAACTTCTGGAACAGCGATGTAGGCTTCCCTACAGCGTTGTCCAACCTAAGCCAAAAATATAGTGCATTGGCAGAAAGTTTTTGGACAGCGATGTTGACCTTGCAACAGCGCTGTCAGGCCAAACTTCCATCTCCAAAGGCAGACCTAAACAGCGATGTTCTAGGATAGAACATCGATGTAGAGATCTGACCGTTGGAAGGAATTTTAGGCTAAAACATTCCTTGTTTGGAAGTCAACAGCCAAAACAGCGATGTAGGGGTTTTGGACATCGCTGTTTGCATGACCGTTGCTTCCCAATTTTTAAAAATCAAGCCTAGAACAGCGATGTCCAAGCCTAGGACAGCGCTGTCTGGGTGAATTTCAGCAGATCCAATTTTAATCAAATCCCATAAAACTATGCCAATCACCCCTTAAATACTTTGGTCCGTTGGAGCCTATTTTTCTACTATAAAATGGGGTGTTTGGGTCTGTTTTACACATAACATTACTTCACAACTCCTACTCTTTCATTGCAAATCATTCTTCAATTCTTCATAGCGGTTGAGAGCCATTTTTGTGAAGCCTGTGTTGTGTTCTTGAGCGTTCTTAGTTTACTCATTATCCACTCTAAAAGAGAGTATTGTTCTTGAGTGTTTTTAGTGTTCTTAGACACTTGACAAGAGAAGGTATCTCTCTTGTTGTTCGAAGGAAGGGTTGTTTCCTTCGAAGGTTCGTTGAGGTTCGTGTGACTCGAATTCTCAAGTTTTACGGGTTTGTTAAGCACCATTAAGCTTAACGAGATAGTAGTGTAGCTCGAGAGAGTCTCTCGGGAGGCTGGACTAGCCACAAGTTGTGGTGAACCAGGGTAAAATTGGTGTGCCTCGTTCGTTTCTCTTTACTTCTCGCTTATTCATTTTTATTCCTGCGATTTCTTGATCAAACGCTATTCACCCCCCCCTCTAGCGTTGGTCTACTATTCTAACAATTGGTATCGGAGCCTAACTCGCGTCCAAACTTAACCGTTTGAGAGTAAAGCGATCATGGGCTCTTCTTCTAGAAATCTCTATGCAGGAATTGGAGAAGGTCAATCAACCTCTAGGCCACCACTCTTTGATGGCACCAACTACTCTTATTGGAAGGAACGGATGAGAATCTATATTCGTTCCACCAACTTCCAATTGTGGTTGGTGATCAAAAATGGCGAAGAAATCCCTATGAAGAAAGTGGGAGAAACCACGGTCCCAAAGACCGAAAACGAATTTGATGCCGAGGACATCAAGAAGATCGAAAACTATGCAAAGGCCATCAATATGCTATATTGCGC